ATTAATGTGATTTAATGAACGTACCATTGCTGTTCTTTGGGCGTGATAACGGTCATCATCCTCAGCTGTCCTACGGCGAAACATGTCCATAGCGTGTGCTTTTCGTCGTCCAATCCTTTTGTTAAGGCTTCTTAACCGCCTTCGCCTTCGCCTCCGACTCAGCATTTCTATTGCATTTGAATGGTCGATCTGTATTTGTATTTGTGGCTGAGTTATTGGCTTAAATAACTCAGTTACGAAGCTGTATAACACGAGCACCAAAACGTCAACTCCATACCGTGGGTGTTTTTCAATCGCGAGTAAAGCTGCTGCATAGCCACTATTTCAAGCATACTACGTCATCGAGTGCCGCCGAAGTACTGTTCCAATCTCCAGCATACTTGGAAATCTACCGAGCCCGGCGTACTCCGTTTGGAGAAATATCGAGGCTGCACATGAGTAGACTCCGCGGTCTTAAAATCCCCACAATGCTTTGCGCACGGACCAATTTCCCCAAATCTGTGACGGAAAATGTAAGGCGGGGCCTCTCATATGACGCACACCTGCACACTTGCTAGCCTGTTCCACTCTTTGTTTTCCAAATGCCAGGAAGTATTCTTGCCTCGCTTCTGAAGCAAGATGCTCGGCAGACATGTGCTACCAAGCAAGCGTACTCGCGATTGAGAAACACCCCGTGTCTGAGGTCGGAAGGTAAACAGAAGCATACAGCGGAAGCGGAAGTTTTTTTTCTTCTTCTTCTCTCGGTTTTTTGGCGAATTGCAACTTTAAGGTGCATACCGCCACCTACTGTACTCGCCGTGAAGTTGTTTGCGGCCTGCCAGTAAACACAAAGCAGAAGAAGAAGAAGTGACGTCAGCGGCTCATTTGCCTAATCCACCCCCAGGAACTCATTTTGGTGTGAATGCGATCTGCTTTAGTTCATCAGAACTAAAAGAGCTCTCATGAACTAAAGTTCTCATGAACTATTGTGGGAAAAGTATTTGGTGTGAACGCGCCTCTTGTTACTGTCTATTGATATTGTTTTTCATGTTCAAATAATATTTCATTAATATGTTCCATTTCCATTTGTAGGCTATAGAGTAGGTGCTACTTTACTTTTCCAGTTTTGCAAGATCCGTTTCTTATACATTTTGGTACTTCCTTTATTTAATATTAATAATTGTATTGAAAATTCAGGGTTAAGGTTACGGTTGGGGGTTCAGCAATTTGAGCAGTGGGGGCTGGTGGAAAATATTTTAGGTGGGGCTGTGGAAATGGTGATCAAACAATACTAGGGGGGTCCGGGGGGATGTTCCCCCGGTAAATTATGACTTCTGGTGATGTTAGAGGGGGGGGGAAGGACAATTTGAGGCTTAAAAATATGAGAAGACTGATCAATACCTCCATAACTTCAGTGTGGTTAGCTATGAATCTTCCAAAACTTCCAAACACCTTGTCCTGGACATAGTTTCTACAGCATAAACTGTGCAACAGTACAGTAGGCCCACACAAACTGCAGAACACCGGGGCTTTGGGAACACTGATTTAATTCCCATTTAACCTGTTAAGGGGCTTTTTTCCCCTGTTTTTTTTCTCACGAAACTGTGTCTCAGGGCTTCTTAAAATGTAATAAACTATTCATGTGTCCTACTCAGAGGAAACGCATCTAACTGATGATATGAACCATGTTTACCGAAACAAAACACAAGTCTCACAAGAAGCGTCTAAATGAGCCCTGAGCGAAAAAATGCTAACGCACTCTAGGTATAAATTAATCGATATATCGGATATGCACAAACAAGCTTACAAACTGAGATTCCACAGATTCTAGAAATATAAGTATCATCACTGAGCGATCAGAACTCGCGACAGGGGAAGCAAATACAGACATCACACGACGTAGCTTTAGGTAGCAAAACACGGAGATATGCTCACCATTTGCAGAATAACAATTCTGATCAAAAATGAGAAAAACGCAGCTGAAGGTTAATCCATAGGTTAATCCAATGTGTCTGTCACTTTGAAAAATGATTGATGATCCATAATTCCATTTTTATGTCAAAAACTGAGTTTTCATTAGCTGCTAATGGTAGCTTCCAGAGTGTATGACAGCTTCCTGTTTTGTCTCCTTGGATACGAGTCCAAACAACTCACAGCCAGAGATGGAGTACTCGAGTCCTGGACTCGGACTCGAGTGCCGATTTTCGGGACTCGTGACTCGACTCGGACTCCCGCACTGATTGACGCGACTCTGACTTGGACTCGTGAATTCTCGCGCACGATGACTTGGACTCAGACTCGGACTCGTGAATTATCGCGTACGCTGACTTGGACTCGGACTCGGACTCGTGAATTTTTCCCCCCATGATGACTCGGACTCGACTTGTACATTGACGCTCCGACTTGGACTCGGACTCGGACTCGAGCAAGTTTTCTATGGAGTCTGATGTCCTCTATCCTGGCGTGTGCACCGGCTGCGAGGCGAGTTCACGTACTGGGCCCCGCTATTCCAGTCTAAAGATGTCCACACCCCGCATCGTGCTATATGCTTTCACACATTCTGCTTCCACATTGGAAAAGAGCAGCGCAAAATGCTCTATGTGGAAACAATATTGAAGAGAAGGCTCCGTAACACATTACTCTAAACATCGAGTTCAGACATATAGGCTGTCTTGAACACTATCATCAGAGTAACGTGATCTAATCAATACATAAAGATTCAGCCGATAACACGAAAGCATATGGCTACTTAACATGCAGAATGACGTCATTTTGCATGCTAAGTAGCCATGTGCTTTCTGGGGCTAAATCTTTATCAGTAAACCGATTTAACCGGTAAAAGTTCCTTCAAAATAAGAGTCCCGATCTTATTACTATCAAAATAAAAGTGCAAAACGAAAACTTTACCATAGGAAAATATTGGCATACAAATATAATCACTTCTCTAAAAGGTAACTAATTTTAAACATAGTTTATATATAATAATAATAATAATAATATTAATATTAGTAATAAGCTTTATATTTGTATAGCACCTATTACAAGAATTGTAGCCAAACTCGCTTCACAGCAGTTCAATAGACAGATTAGTATAACATGACAGGATAAAAGCAATGTAGAGGAGCAGCTACATTTCAACACATATATCCATGAAGATTAATACATGAAGACTTGTGACTCGGACTTGACTTGGACTCTTCTTAGGTGACTCGGACTTGGACTCGGACTCGAACACAGGTAATGATGACTCGGACTCGGACTTGACTCGGACACTCCTTGGGTGACTCGGACTTGGACTCGGACTCGAACACAGGTAATGATGACTCGGACTCGGACTCGACTCGGACATTCCTTGGGTGACTCGGACTTGGACTCGGACTCGACTACGACTCTCCCTTGGTGACTCGGACTTGGACTCGGACTCGAAGAGTGGTGACTCGAGAGTGACTTGGACTCGTGAATTGGTGACTTGACTACAACACTGTCACAGACTGCACCGGGCGCTCACGTAGGAGCCCTGTGACCATCAGATATGACAACGCTGATTGGCTGAAATTATGTTTCGGCGGCATAGTTTAAAGATAGCAACAGTTGGCTTCTGCTGTACTTGCTGCACTCTCGTCAGGGCGCTGTGCATAGCGCCCAGACGAGAGGGAGTAATGATACACGGGCAAGGCCAGGCAGGAAACATGTGACTTATCAGTAACTTTAGACATCGTAACACAATTTTAAACGAGATTTTATTGTAGATTATACATTTTACTGATACCAATTATATAATATTTACCTTGTTTATTAAAAATAAAAAATATATTTTTTAAATATATATTTTTTTATTTTTAATGTGGGAAGAGGGGGGGGCGGCGCCCCTAGCGCCCCTATGGGCCGGCCGCCACTGAATTTGAGGTGTCTAACCAAAACAGCAGCGAGACACCAAATCACTGCTGAACACTTACAAGCAACGGTGCTTTTAAAACTTTTGGGGAGGCCCGAGTGGATCTACAGCTTAATGAACAAGTGCGCAGGGAAACGGAGCTCCACTATGGTTTTTACCAGAAATACGACTGGACAGACTGGACTTTAGCATTAGCCTCCATGGTGATAGAACAGGACTTATCATTGGAACTGAAAACTCAGATCATCTGTACAACAGAGTAACTGAACTCTTCTTGAGGAGAGAAAGGAGGAGAGATTTGGTGTAGAGATAATCAAACATGACTTTTATTTACTTTTTAAAAATATTTTCTATTCATTTCATTAAATACATTTTGATGCAGTTCTGCTAGAGATGATGTGTCTGCTGCGGTTTAGTTTAGTTGAGTTTATTTATTTATAGTGTCGTGGACAGTCCCCATCGATGAACTGTCACAAAAACAGTAAATGGAGCAGCTTTAGCCGACATGGCTAATTTCCAGCTGTTGTCCCCGGCCAGATGGTAATAGACACCCTTAACAGTGCGGTGAACAGACACTTGTTGAATTATGTTATTTGGGTTTCCTGCTTTTGTAAAGGCATTATTTTTGCTACGTTAGATATCTGTCTGTGATGCAACGCCCTGTTATACTGTTTTTCTGTATAATATTAATGGTTTATATGGCCTTGACGTCATTATAATGTAATTAAGAGGTGGATTTATTCAGGTAGGACACTACTGGGGCTAAATGTGAAATGCACAGCCCACTGCACATGACAGATAAGCTATTGAATGAAACAATAACTGTAACTGACAATAACAGCAATTCATTGATGGTCCCTAAAGGACTATTGGTAAGTGCTATGGCTGGAAATGGCAAGAGGTCCGCTCGATGTGGACCGTCTATGTCGAATATCCAACCTCAAACTAACTTCACCGTGGGTATTTTCAGCACCATCACAAAATACACCTTTTTTTGTAAAAACTCAGATACGTGCTTTATTATACAAGCTTTGTTTGATTGACAGCTTTGTGAACGCGGAAGTTAATTAACCTCCTCTCAGCCAATCACGATCACGTATTCCCGGATATAAACAGCTGATATGTGTCTGAGGGGAGTCTTGTTGCAGAGCCAGACGCGGGGAGGGAGGGACTCGAACTCCCAAAAAGCATCAGTCCGAGTTGTTGCAAAACGTCCGATCTGCAGCCTGGAACTTCGAAAACACGTTTAAAAATTGAAGTGAGGGTGGATACCAGGACCATGGCGGGTAAAAGCACGCTTTCTGTTGTTACATTATTTACTGGCGTTTAGCTAACAAGGAGGAAAGACCGTTATTTTGTTTGTGATGCAATCCAGATGCTTTCTGCGTTTAATACTGGGGCTCACTTCCGCAACACACGCGCCCGCAACAGACGCACTTCTTCTGCTTCCCGCCCTACTTTTCCTGCTCTTTGTTACTTTATAAGGAGAGTAAGATACCTGTGTCTGTTTCAGAAGAAGCATCAGTTGTGGAGGAGGGTCTCCCCCCCTCTCAGACCCCGCTGGTGTCATTCAGCTTCGAGAGGAACGTCAACTGGAAACAGAAGTACCTGGAGGCTGAGCCCAAAGCTCTGGGGGTACTGTGTGTGTGTGTGTGTGTGTGTGTGTGTGTGTGTGTGTGTGTGTGTGTGTGTGTGTGTGTGTGTGTGTGTGTGTGTGTGTGTGTGTGTGTGTGTGTGTGTGTGTGTGTGTGTGTGTGTGTGTGTGTGTGTGTGTGTGTGTGTGTGTGTGTGTGTGTGTGTGTGTGTGTGTGTGTGTGTGTGTGTGTGTGTGTGTGTGTGTGTGTGTGTGTGTGTGTGTGTGTGTGTGTGTGTGTGTGGTGTACAATACATTATTGTCAAAATACCTAATTACTAGTCAAAGTTCTGCATTCAAAATCAAACTTAAGTAAGCAAAATGTACTTACGGTTTTAAAAGTATTCATTATGCAGAACATTTTCTTTATGTGTGTATATCATTATATTTATATATGTGACCTTTCTAGATAATATTTGTTGCATCAAGTAGCATTTTACTGTTGTAGACTAACACAGTTCTAATTGACTTTTTTGAAAATATTTTAATAATTTGACTTAAAAAGTTAGTCTACTAGTTTAATTTTTAGAGATGCATTGTTAAAAGTACCTAAAGCTGTTAAATAAATGTAGTGGAGTAAAATTACAGTATTTACCTCTTAAATGTATTTGAGGTATTAAGTAGCATGAAATGGAAATACTCAAGTAAAGTACCTCAAAATTGTACTTAAGTACAGTTCCTAAGTAATTGTACTTAGTTACTTCCCACCTCTGCTCTACAGAGCCTGAGCTTGTCATCTTGAGATGTTCTCTCTGTTCTCCAGATCACTCAGATCGGCCTCAGTCTGTTTCAGATCATCAGCTCGGTGGTGTTCAGATCCAAAGGCCTGATTTTTGATTTCCCTGGTGACATACCGGTCATCATCTTATCTCTACTGGTAAGCATATCCAGAACTTTGAATATTCATTCCTCATTAGCAGAACAAAAGATGGAGCAGTTATTATTTATTTATTATTCTATTTATCTTTGTCGTGGCTTGTTCATGACTGTAAATGTATTTGAAGTGATTTTATAAAATATTTTTGTTGCGTTAGTTGTCTTTTGTAAAGCCCATTGAATTCCACCATGTTGTTTTACATTTTCTATGTGTAGGGGGGCCTAAGGTGCCAATTATAACACTGCCGCAGAGTGATTAAAGGTTAGCGTGCTCACATGATTCCTGTTCTGTTCACAGGTGTTAATAGCTGGGAGTTTGACCGTAGCAGCACAGAACCTGCATCTCCCAACGGTGAGTTACCGGCTGGAGGGTGGACACTAATATCTCTCAAATCTCACAGGATCACCAATTATATATGAGCCACATAATAACTAGTCCCAAATACAAATATCCAGGCGTACTTGCTTTAATATACAATGGAACATGTCAAAATGTCTTGTCATAGGAATTTAGGACTAGTTTGCACTTTTATACAATCCACAAAAACAGAACTGATCAGTCACTTCCTCTATAGGAGCAGTTGGATTTGTCAGCCATTTTGCTCCTTCAACTGGTTGCACGCAGTGGAAGAAGGAACCATTTATTAAAGGATCAGTGCAGGGAAGCTAAACACCAGAGTGGCTGTGACTTAAAGGGGATGTATAATGAACATTTTCTGGTTCATACTTACAGTTTATTTTGGGTTTCTAGTAGAACATTATTTTTCTCACGTCTGGAACACTCTGTTTTAGCGCCTGTCTCTTTAAGATAGGTCTGTATTCTACTGGCCTGCAAGGGGAGTTATGTTACAGTTTAAGGATATGTTCTTACCTAAACATGCATTGAAAGGTGATTTTTTTTTTGTGGGATATTTCCACTTTAAGAGACTACGGATAAGAGTGAAGTGGGTAATCCCAGTTGTGGCAATTGAAAACGTTAGTACACCTAGTACATTGGACAGTGGATTGAACAGGATTTGCTTTGCTGTTTTAATTTCCTAATTTAAATATCAAGTAATTCTCTGTTATTTTATCACGTCTGTAAATATCTTCTAAAACAAAGCAAACAGGTGTCATTTAAAACAAATGTTGTGTCTTGTATCTCGTGCTCTTCAGCTGAGGGCGTGTTTGGGGATGCAGATCGTGGCTGTCCCCGCCTCCATCGCCAACATGATCTTCGCTCTGGTTAAAATGAATGATATCCCCTACTTCTGCTGGCACTACTACTACTATGACCAGAACTCCACCTCACTAGGAGAGCAATGCCATAACATAGAGGTGAGCTCTTATAAGATCCAGACTTTTAACTTAATACTTCATTTGAGTTGGATAATGACACTCCTGTAAGTGGAATGCTTGTTTTTATAACAACAAACATTCTGATCCCATTACAGAGCACGATTTCACACTTCTCTTCCGAGTGTGTGGTCATTAACGTTGCCCTGGTGACCATCTCCATCACTGTGGCCGCCTACTGCTGCAAGGTGACCAACTGCTGCTCGCCAGCCCCCAAAATGGTGAGTCAACAACTCTCTGAACCACTGGTTTCATCATGGAGGTCCTCTGTGTTTTAATACTACCTGAATACATACCAAACGACCAGAGAAATGAAGATGGAGGGCCAGCATGATCATGTTCGGACCCTCATAGGAGAGGAATAAATGTGTTCAGATACCTTTTAGAGAGGTAGAACAAAGCACAATGGTGTTTTAATTCCTTCAACATGTCTAGTCTTTGAAATACATGGTTCTAAAAATATATTTTACTGCAAAATTAGTTTTATTGGTCCATGTTTGTATAATTTCCCTTACAAATAAAAAGTAAAAAATGTAATCTTCTTTAAAAAGGATTGTGTCCACAAAAATGATCAGAATGTCACTAAATGAAGACTAGACATTCACAGGCATTGCACACATTCAAACAAAGATTTCTTCATTACCTTTGAAATATATACACTTAAACACACACAAGTTATAGGCCGAAATGGAGTAGGAAATTGAAAAACCACTAGATAAGTATATACTTTTCTGACATTATTAAAGTAAGGAGGCCAGTCACCAACAAATGTAATTTGTATACCAACTGTTACTTTTTCCTAAAAATAGGTTATTTTACTATTAAACTTCACCCTATGCTGTCCGCAGCCCGTAACAGTAACTAGTGCCCCCAAACAACAAGGGGGTCCTGTGGGTGTAGATGTGGAGGGAGGGGCACAACCCATAGATCAACAGATATAATATAACTATGTGTTATACAAGCATCCATTTCAAAAACGAGTACATTACTACAGTAGCTTTAAACGCAGCAGGTGTTAACATTTGTTCTTGTTTGTGTTTGCCCCCCTCAGCCGGTGATCACGGTGCAGGCCCCCCCCGCCCAGCTGTGAGGGGCAAACAGATGTTCAGCTACACACAAATGCTACATAAAATGTAAAAGTGCACTAATCAACATTTTTGTATAACCAATGTATCAAATAACTATGTGAAATGTGAAAGGGGTTTGTTTGAGCAGCTTATGAGACAGTTATGTTTAAAGACTTGGTGAGACCAGACCAGAGCTAAAAGGAGAGCAGAACTCCAGCTGGACACAAACAACAACTGTTGATCTGTGTCTGATGGATGTGTTCTTCCATCATTGTCATAGCAACTATATAACCCGATAAAATGTAAAAGAAAATTTGTTCACAGCTTGGAAAAAAAATAATGAATGCATCTTGAAAAATGTACTTTTTAAAGTATTAAATTACATTATCACGCTTCTGCACATTTTTCATTTCATCTCTAATAATACAATTCATCTCAGTCTATTTTGATCTTTAAAATGCTACAGTAATAACAACAATCAGAATACCTTTATTCATCCCAGAGGGGAAATGTGCATTTGTTACAGCAAGAAAAGAGCCAGACAGCTCAATATTACCCAAGAAGCATGCATTAAACAAATATTAAAGATACAAATGTTATTTTTAAGGGACAAATGCCTAAAATATATACAGAAAGATATTGAATCCTACATTAGATAGTATTAATGTGATTTAATGAACGTGCCATTGCTGTTCTTTGGGCGTGATAACGGTCATCATCCTCAGCTGTCCTACGGCGAAACATGTCCATAGCGTGTGCTTTTCGTCGTCCAATCCTTTTGTTAAGGCTTCTTAACCGCCTTCGCCTCCGACTCAGCATTTCTATTGCATTTGAATGGTGGATCTGTATTTGTATTTGTGGCTGAGTTATTGGCTTAAATAACTCAGTTACAAAGCTGTATAACACGAGCACCAAAACGTCAACTCCATACCGTGGGTGTTTCTCAATCTCGAGTAAAGCTGCTTCAGAGCCACTATTTCAAGCATACTACGTCATCGAGTGCCGCCGAAGTACTGTTCCAATCTCCAGCATACTTGGAAATCTACCGAGCCCGGCGTACTCCGTTTGGAGAAATATCGAGGCTGCACATGAGTAGACTCCGCGGTTTTAAAATCCCCACAATGCTTTGCGCACGGAACAATTTCCCCAAATCTGTGGCGGAAGATGTAAGGCAGGGCCTCTCATATGACGCACACCTGCACACTTGCTAGCATGTTCCACACTTCGTTTTCCGAATGGCAGGAAGTATTCTTGACTCGCTTCTGAAGCAAGATGCTCGGCAGACATGTGCTACCAAGCAAGCGTACTCGCGATTGAGAAACACCCCGTGTCTGAGGTCGGAAGGTAAACAGAAGCATACAGCGGAAGCGGAAGTTTTTTTTCTTCTTCTTCTCTCGGTTTTTTGGCGAATTGCAACTTTAAGGTGCATACCGCCACCTACTGTACTCGCCGTGAAGTTGTTTGCGGCCTGCCAGTAAACCCAAAGCAGAAGAAGAAGAAGTGACGTCAGCGGCTCATTTGCCTAATCCTCCCCCAGGAACTCATTTTGGTGTGAACGCGATCTGCTTTAGTTCATCAGAACTAAAAGAGCTCTCATGAACTAAAGTTCTCATGAACTATTGTGGGAAAAGTACTTGGTGTGAACGCGCCTCTTGTTACTGTCTATTGATATTGTTTTTCATGTTCAAATAATATTTCATTAATATGTTCCATTTCCATTTGTAGGCTATAGAGTAGGTGCTACTTTACTTTTCCAGTTTTGCAAGATCCGTTTCTTGTACATTTTGGTACTTCCTTTATTTAATATTAATAATTGTATTGAAAATTCAGGGTTAAGGTTACGGTTGGGGGTTAGTGTTTTCATTCAGCAATTTGAGCAGTGGCGGCTGGTGGAAAATATTTTAGGTGGGGCTGTGGAAATGGTGATCAAACAATACTAGTGGGGTCCTGGGGGATGCTCCCCCGGTAATTTTTTTTGAGAAAAGACCCCTTAAATTATGACTTCTGGTGATGTTAGAGGGGGGGGGAAGGACAATTTGAGGCTTAAAAATATGAGAAGACTGATCAATACCTCCATAACTTCAGTGTGGTTAGCTATGAATCTTCCAAAACTTCCAAACACCTTGTCCTGGACATAGTTTCTACAGCATAAACTGTGCAACAGTACAGTAGGCCCACAAACTGCAGAACACCGGGGCTTTGGGAACACTGATTTAATTCCCATTTAACCTGTTAAGGGGCTTTTTTCCCTCGTTTTTTTTCTCACGAAACTGTGTCTCAGGGCTTCTTAAAATGTAATAAACTATTCATGTGTCCTACTCAGAGGAAATGCATCTAACTGATGATATGAACCATGTTTACCGAAACAAAACACAAGTCTCACAAGAAGCGTCTAAATGAGCCCTGAGCGAAAAAATGCTAACGCACTCTAGGTATCAATCAATCGATATATCGGATATGCACAAACAAGCTTACAAGCTGAGATTCCACAGATTCTAGAAATATAAGTATTGTAACGTTCGACATAGGGAGTCGGAAACAGGCTTCAAGTTCTTAGTGTTTAATAACTCCTTTGTTCGCTTACACTTATAGAATCCAGCTCAGGTTACAGGTTACAGGTTTGTCCTTACTCTCTACTCCACTCCCTAACTCACACTCCCAGCAGGGTCAACGTCACGACACCCCAGCCCTCCCCCCTCTGCTCCCCCAACCACAGGCCCGCACACCGACCAGCATTACTGTGCAGCTCCGTGATTGGCAGAGAGACGGGGGACGCTTGAGTGACACACCCAGCACCCTATGCAGGGTCGCTACACTACCCCCCTACTACAAAGTTCCTCGCCCACGAGGGACACATAAAAAACTAGAACAAAAACCTGCAACTAAACACTAACCCACAGCAGCGAGAACGTGTAACACATTTTTCTTTAGTTGAACTAGGAAGGTCTGGGTGGACTACCATCCCTTCCAGTGAGACCAGGGCGCATTCTTGCCCTCTACAGGAACCGAGGGGTCTCACTATAAACTTTATTTCACCTTTCTTTATTGATTTTCACTTATATCAAAACAGAACAGGGTACATAAAAATGCAGATGTGTAATCATACAATTGAATTGAATTACATTTGTACCACAAATAAAAATGTCATTGCAGTACATATACTGTGTAAGCACATACACATAATATATATATACATATTCATACACACCCACAGATGCACTTAAAGAAATAAAATAAATAATACAATCCAATAAAATAAACAGTAAATTAAAAGGGAGGGGGAGGGGGGGCTTCATGCAGTCAGATTGGCACAGGGGAGTTTGTTAAAATAGTCAAGGAAAGGCTGCCAGATCTTGTAGTATTTGTTAACACATCCCTGGCTACGATACCTCAGCTCCTCCAGCTGCAAATGTGCCATCACATCCCTCACCCAGTGGGCATGAGATGGTGGAGTCCGGTCTTTCCATTTGAGGAGGATTAGACGGCGGGCAAGAAGGGTTGCAAACGCAAGTGAGTGTGACTGGCAATTAGAGAGGGAGACCCCCTCAGGGGCTACTCCAAACACAGCTATTATGGGATTTGGTTGTATGTTCTGGCCATACATCAATGAAAAAGTTTCAAATATAGAAGACCAAAATGGGGCAATGGACTGACAGGAGAAAAACATGTGCAATAGGGTAGCCGTGGCACAATGACACCTCTGGCATGTAGGATCAACATCAGGGTACAGCCTGGCAAGCCTGCTCCTGCACAGATGTAATCGATGGAACACTTTAAATTGAAGTACTCCATGCCTCACACAGACGGAGGATTTATGTATGTTCTCAGTCGCAGACCGCCAGGTCTCATCGGTTAGTTCTATGCCCATTTCTTCTTCCCAGGCACCCTTAAGGTGGTTAAGAGAAGGGCTAGAGATTTCTTGAATAATATTATATAGCTTTGAGATATAGCCTCCCTGACAAGGTTTAAGGCCCAGGCAGTCTTCCATCCATCCACCAGGTGGGGCGGCCGGGAAGGAGGGAAATTGTTTTCTTGTAAAATCGCGAATTTGTAAATATCTAAAATAATGATTCCTTGGGATGTCATATTCTTTAACTAAATGTTCAAAGGATGTGAATACCCCTTCGTAGAACAGATCAGCAACACACTTAAGTTCCTTCCGGGACCACAGGTGGAAAGCGGAGTCTATCAGGGCTGGTTTGAAAGCCGGATTGCGAACTATGGGGATGAAGGAGATAGTTTGTCTATATCCAAAATGCCTCCTGAACTGTGACCATATCCTAAGAGAGCTATTGACCACAGGGTTGTTCGAGTGATATTTTCTACTAAGTGGTAAAGGAGCACACATCAGGGAGGCAGGGGCCAGTGGTTCACACGAGTGTTGTTCCATGCTAGACCAAATAGGACCGCCCCCTTCCCGGAAATGACTCATCCAAAATGCCATTTTATGGATATTGGCAGCCCAGTAGTAGTGTAAAAAATTAGGCAGTGCAAGACCCCCCTCTGACTTTCTTTTCTCAAGAAATGCCTTACGCAGACGGGGAATTTTCTTATTCCAGATAAAAGTGGAAATATATTTGTCCAGGTCTTTAAAAAACTTTTTAGGGAGAAAAACAGGAATTGACTGAAAATAATACAGCATACGTGGCATAATAACCATTTTAATGGTGTTCACCCTGCCCGCCAACGAAATAGGGAGCGACGCCCAGCGCTTTAGGTCCTCATTAACCTTGTCCAGAGCTGGTTGCAGGTTCTTTTTAAACAGGGTTTTAAAGTCCTGTGTCACACACACTCCCAGGTAGGTGAAAGAGTCAATGGCCACTTTAAAGGGGAGTTCGCTAAATGAAAGCTTGGCCGCAGTCTCATTGATGGGGAAGAGTACACTCTTGGTCATGTTGACCTTATACCCAGACGCCTTCCCGAAAGAGGTGATTACATCGAGTGCAGCCGGAATGGACCTAAGCGGGTCGGAGCAGTACAGTAAAACATCGTCCGCATACAAAGACAGCTTATGCGTATAGCCTCCCCGCTCAATGCCTGTAAAATTTGACCGATTCCTGAGCGCAGCTGCTAACGGTTCTATGGCTATATCAAACAAGAGGGGGGACAGGGGGCATCCCTGCCTTGTGCCCCGTTGAAGCCGGAAGTATTTTGAAATTATATTATTAGTGCGAACTGCTGCCTGAGGTGCAGAGTAGAGGACCTTTATCCAGGAGATAAAGCATGGGCCGATGCCAAATTTAGCAAGAGTTGCAAATAGGTAGTCAAATTCAATGCGATCAAAGGCTTTGTGTGCGTCTAGAGAGATGAGGGCCTCTGTAGAGAGTCCTGGATTTGAGTAAATTATATTATATAGGCGCCGAAGATTCCCAAAAGACTGTCAGCCTTTTACAAAC